GGGGTGCCTCCGGGACGTTCATGGGCTGCTTGTGTCTGGGGCTGAAGCTCTTTAGCCACCCCCCGGCATAGCTGCTTCATCTGCTGGGCTCCCTCTGCCTCAATGCTGCCCACCGAGTATCAGCTCTGGGAACCAGGTTTACAGTAACCCCAGCACCCGAGCAGAATGCTTAGTGCAGGCTTGGGAAGCCGGGATGTGACCTGGTATCCTGGCTGCCCCCTGTCTGTGAAGACTGGAAACACACTGCAGGGAACAAGGCTGGTCCTCTTCTCCTCCTGTAACAGCACTCAGTTATGGCCACATGGAGGCTAAGGGGGACTGATTATTTTATATATGTTTGTACATTGGTTTGTGTGTGTTTAAACAAACTTTAACTATGTAAACTGGTATGAGTGTGTGTATTTCAGTAAAGGTGTGTATGCATGTCAGGGAGAGTGTGTGACATTGAGTTTGTATGTCAGTGAGAGTGTGTAAGTGACATTATGTGTATGTCATGCAGAGTGTGACATTGAGTGTGTATGTCAGGGAGAGTGTAAGTGACATTATGTGTATGTCAGGGAGATGTGTAAGTGACATTGTGGCGGGACTGGTGCCTGTTTGTGAATTGCTGTAATATATTCTGTGTGTTTCCCCGTAATTTTTCGTATAATGCATTCACCTCCCGAATTGTGACCACCCTGACAACTCATTTAGAATGTAGGTTTAGACCGTTCGCACCTCGTAATGAGGTGTCAAAACACAAACTGCAACGGGAGCCTCGGCGCGTGCCTTCCCTGGTTGGCAGCCTGTTCGCTAGATGAACGCCACCCAAGGGGAGCATTCATGGATTGCTTCCCATCTCGTTCAGTTTTCCGAATGAGGACCTCCCTAGTGCCCCTTGGAGTGTTCACACCAATCAATTAGAATGTTGGCAACTTGCAAAATAAGTGTGAAACCGGAAGAGAAGTAATTAATGAGTGCTTCCCTGGTGGCCACCGTTCATATAGATGGATGTCGGCCAGGGGGAGCATTTGTGTCCCGAATGGAGATGCGTCCCTTGCCTGGTTTCACCCAGGAACCCTGGGAACAGAGGCTGTTTGTGGCGGTTACCGTTCTGGGGGTCCCTGAGATTGGTGGTGACATTTAATGGCGGTTTGGCAGGCTTTCTGTGGCTAGGAGTCAAAGAGGCGGGAAGCTTTCCCGTGCTGGGACTCCCAGGTACAGAGGCTTATGGGATGAAGACCGCCTTGTCACCGGAGGAGGGAAACCCTGAGCATGGGTGGTGGGAACAGAGGACAAAGGGACTAGAGTTTCATTTCCGTCAGTAGACCTGGAAGGGGGAAGACCCTGGGAGGGGACATTGTCTTGGTGTGTGATCCAACCCTTTGCATGGGGAAAGTATAAAATTGAGTGTGGCCAATAAAGTTGTTGTTGTACCCCCAAGACTGTGTGTCGTCCAGTTAATGGGTGTGTATGTCAGGGATAGTGTGTAAGTGACATTGTGTGTGTATGTCAGTTAGAGTGTACATGTGCTAGTGAATATGTGACCAATTATATTTATAATACATATAAATAAAATTATATATTATGATGAAAAAAAGATTTACTTACAGTGAACCTGTCAGACAAGTTCACTGTTACATAAATTAAATCTCATCATTATAAATTAATACCACAATATTATAAATTAAATGCTGCCAAATGAATTGAATACATCATTTATCACAGCGATAAATTATGTATTCAATGTAAAATGCATGTATTAGACAGTTTGTGTGTATGGATGCATGTAATGGGCAATGTACGTGTGTATGAATGTATGTATTGACAGTGTGTGCATGGAATTATTTATTGAGAAATAATGGATGGATATATTGAGCACTGTGTGTGTATGAATGAATGTATTGGCAGTATATGTGTATAGATGTATGTGTTGGGCAATGTGTATGTATGAATGTTTGTGTTTATATTGGGAAGTCTCTTTCTTTCTTTAAGCCCTTAAGGACCAAACTTCTGGAATAAAAGGGAATCATGACATGTCACACATGTCATGTGTCCTTAAGGGGTTAAAGGGACACTATAGTCACCAAAACAACTTTAGCTTAATGAAGCAGTTTTGGTGAATAAATTATACCCATGCAGTCTCACTGCTCAATTACCTGCCATTTATGAGTTTAATTACTTTGTTTATGCAGCCCTGGTCACACCTCCCTGCATGTGACTTACACAGCCTTCCTAAACACTTCCTGTAAAGAGTCATCTAATGTTTACACTTTCTTTATTACAGATTATGTTTAATTTAGAATGCATCTCCTGCTCTGTTAATAGCTTGCTAGACTCTGAGGGAGCCACCTGTATGTAATTATAGTTCAATTTACAGAGCAGGAGATAAAAACTTTGAAAGTAAGTTACATCTGATTGATGTAAATAATTTTGTTTCACGCAGGCTGTGTCAGTCACAGCCATTGGAGGTGTGGCTAGGGCTGAATAAACAGAAACAAAAATGATTTAACTCTTAAATGACGGTGAATTGAGCAGTGATACTTCAGAGGCATGATCTATACACCAAAACTGTTTCATTAAGCCCAAGTTGTGTTGGTGACTATAGTGTCCCTTTAAGTGTCTGCTCACTGTGTCTCTCTTAAACTGTCTTCCAGTCTGTCTCGTTCCTAAATACCTCAACAATCTCTCTATCCGTCCCCTAATTGCCTTCCCGGTCTGTTCCCTTTCCTTAAATTTCTCACCCGTCCATCTCTGCTCCCTATATTTTTTCCTAGTCTGTCTCTGTTTCCTAAATTTTGTTTTCCGAGACATTTTCCACTAAATGTCTTGACCTGTCTCTCTTAAAGAGGTAACTAGACACTTAGAAGTCTATTCATTAAACAGTGATTTGAAAACATTTTGAAAAAGAGTTGATATGGTGACTTTATATAACATTTCTGTTTTTGCCTAAATGTTGCAAGTGATATTTCAGCTCACTGTTTAATGCAGGGGTCCTCAAACTTAACAAACAGGGGGCCAGTTTACTGTGCCTCTGACACAGTTGGGGGGCAGACTAAGGTTTGAATTTTTTTTAACGTATTCCTATACATACTGAAACAGACACATAGACATATACAGACACATACATACATACATACAGACACACACACACAAGCATAAGGACATACATACACACACATATACATACATACCCAAACACAGACAGGCACATACATACACACAAACACATACTGACATACATACAGATACATACACACACACACAGACTCACAGATATACATATTGACATACATACAGATACATATGCACACACATACATACTTAAAATACAGACACACAGACATACATACTAAAATATATGCACACAGACATACATACTGAAATACAGACACATACTGACATACATACAGACACACACACACACACACTGAAATACATACACATACATACACACAGACATACATACTGAAATACATACATGCATACATATTGAAATACAGACACATACACACAGACACTCATACTGACATACATACAGATACATACAAACTGAAATACATACACATACACACAGACATACATACAAACACATACATACAGACACATACTGACATACAGATACATATACACACAGACATACATACTGAAACACATACACATAATACTGAAATACAGACACACAGACATACATACAAAATACAGACACACAGACAGACATGCTGACATACATACACACACACAGACAGACATGCTGACATACATACACACACACACAGACATACTGACATAAATACATACACATAGCTAATTTTTCTTACCTTTTTTTGCAGGAGGATGGCTGCCAACGATGGGAGTCGGCGTGGCACTTCCCTCCTCGTGGCCTGGCTGTGCCTCTCTTCCCTCCCGCACGGAGGGAGCTGGGAGGAAGAGATGGCACTTCCTCCCAGCACTGCTTTGCGGCTGCACGGCTGCAGCGCTGACCGGGCCCCTGAAGATATAGGGCCCATCGGGTGGCCCTGAGTGCTTGGGCCAGGTTCAGGACCATGGCGGGCTGGACCCGGCCCGCGGGCCGTAGTTTGAGGACCCCTGGTTTAATGAATAGACAGGGAAAAGAAAATGACAAAAGTCAATGAGAGGATTATTCACTAAAGTGAGAATTGTTGGATTTAAAATTAATTAAAAGTTAATTTCAGAAGTAAGGCTCTCATTTTGAATTCCCAACATTTCTCACTGTAGTGAATAATCCTATAAGAATAAAGAAAGACGAGCTGGAGAGAATCAGTGGCAGAGATTGAGCAGAGAAATCATTAGACGTGCAATTCGTTTCGGTACGAATTTAAATTCTGACAAATTTCGGCAATTCGGACATTCGGATGTGGTCAGACAGCCACAGAGGGCAGACTTAGAGCTGCAAGGTAAACATTGCAGTTCTCTGGAACTGTTTTACATTGCAGCACTAAGTGCAAAAGGGTCAAAAGGTGCCTACAGTGTCCCTTTAATTTAACACTAATGATATAATGAACGAATCAAACAAAAATTTAGATTTCGAGTGATTCGTTTATTAGTTAATTCTTCCACTGTGCCATTCGGAATTCGGACAAATGGACGAGCCAGCCAATTTTCGTCCGAAATGTGATTCTTTCGAATATGAAGGCCCAACTCTAGTAAAGGTTGGATTTGAAAAACGCACATTAAAAAAAAAAAAAATTCCTAAATGCCCAGAAGTAAGATCTTCCTTTCTAAAATTCAGGAGGTGTTGCAGGGAGTCAGCATGACTGATATCTGAGTTGATTTCTCTATGGTTTGCAGGGAATCAGAACAACTGGAAGTTCAGTCAATTTTGAAAACTGACAATTTTCTACGATTGCTTTCAAAATCCCTGCTTTAAAGGTTTAAAGAATCATTAGTGGCACTGAGTTGTAAAGCGTGTCTGCTCCATTTATTCCTATTATCAGTTTCCTTTCAAATCGCTGATATCCCAAGCATGAGAAGACAAAGCTATTCAAACGCTCCTCCCAGTAGCTTTATCATTGGAGGGCTAGTGTGTCACTAAATTTTAGATATGTCAGCCACAGCTGTCAGCTGTGATTCAAGTTACAGTCTGACCCGCAGCTTGTGCCTGTGAAGCCATGGCATCCAGTGAGGAGGAAGGGTCTGCGGAGGATAAGGAAAACACCAAAAAAAGAACACTTAGTACTTTGGCAACAGCATGGCTCACCTTCTACAACATTGCCATGACCGCTGGGTACGTACATGCTCCGAATATTGGATGAGCTGATCAGATCCAATAATCATATCCATGTATTAAACCAGGAAGGATACATTTTGCTTTCACTAGTTTTTAAGTGTCCTATGCCATTCTCATCGCTCTTGGAAATATTTAATCTAAAAAAGAAAATCCATTTATTTATTGAAAATGATGACGTTCTAATAGAATGTTGCGGCTGTGTTTTTATACAATTTATATTAGCTTTAGTTGGTCTGTGTTACGTGTTTTCATTTTTAACCTCTATTTATCCACGTATTGCTCAACTCCACCTGGCATTCGAAGGGTCAAAGTCTCGCAGTATTGGGCACCTAAACTTTCAATGATCCTGAGCGATGAGATATTGTGAGTGTTTAAGAACCGATTATGGCAGCGTAGCGTAAAATACTCTGTGAATTATGGGTTCTGGAGCTCTTTGACATTGTAAAGGTCTAACTGCGTGAAACAGATGTTCAATCCGCTCTTCCCAGGGCTGAAAATGTAAAAAAAACAAGACCGTGTAAAAATTACATTTGGGGTTCCAATAGATTTTATAGTAGATATTTGTTATTGAGTTTATTTATTTTAATCAAGGCACTTTGTGAAAACCTGCAGTAAGGAGGAGAAATAAGAGGTAATGAGTTGATTGCACACTGCGAGTTTGCCTCTCTTTGCCTTGCATTTCCTAATACGGTACATGACAGCAGCTGCGTCATGTCATTGCCGGTCTCTGTGGTTAAGTATAGCAAGACCCCAGCATGCCAGTAGGCGGGTAAACTGCTTCCCTCTGCACATTTTACAGTAACTGAAGCATGTATCCCTAGACTCAACATAGCTGTACGTTCACCGTGGAAACATGCCAAAAAAAAATATATATATAAATATATGAGCAGCTGCTGTCCCTTACATTCGGAATAATGGGATATTTTTTGTGGGCAAGAATGATGTGGGATTTATTAAAACAGTTCAGTTGCTATTTTGACATCAGCTAGTGTTCTGATGCAATTATTTAACACAGATACTAGGGCCGCATTTGTGTCATGCCTGAAATGAATAGATATATGCAGACTCTAAATAAAGGAAATACTTATTGTATTTAAAGATAGACTCCAGGCAATGTTAAATGTGGACATATTTGATATATGTCATCGGATACAAATTGCTTGCTTTTAAATATGCAAAGGCAGGGCATAAAAAAAGGTCTTCCATCTTTGCTCCACCCACTTGGTCAATATTTCTCGCTTCCGTATTCTTTCTATGGCTGCAGAGGGTGTACAGCTGTATGCTGACTATAGTGTATGCACCCCTGCAGCACCCAGTTGACTGCGATGGAATAAACAGCATGTGTGTTGTGTAATTATGTATTTTAAAAATATAACAGGGAAATATTTTATGTGCAAAGAGAACAGAATTTTAAATGGAATCATTGTATCTCTATGGGGAGGGTTCAGGGTCTCCATGCAGAACATGGAGACGCTGAACGTAGTTCTTGCAAACATTGCAGGATTTAACCCAGGAAGTCCCTCTAGTGGTCGTCTCAGTGACTGTCAGTACAGGTGTTAATGGGAAATTATGTAAACATTGCCTTTCTGAAAAGGCAGCATGTACATTGCTGAGCCTGCAGGGACAGGCTGTAGACAGCAGAACCACTACATTAAGCTGTCGTGGTTCTGGTGACCTCCTTCAGCCCTCAGCATCATCAGTGACTGATGGGGGGCAGGGGGAATTAAACAGAGAGGAGGAATAGAGAGATGGTGGAGGGAGGAGGGAGAGACACAGGGAAAAGGGGGAATAAAGAGACAGAGGGGAAGGGGGGAAGAAAGAGACAGAGGGGAAGGGGGGAAGAAAGCGACAGAGGGGAATAAAGAGACAAAGAGGGAGAAAGGAGAGAGACACACAAAGGGAGGGGGAGAAAGAGTAAGAGGGGGAAGAGACTGGGAAGGAGAGGGGAGACATTGACACAGAGGAGCAGTGAGGGAAGAAAGAAACATACAGAGTGACTGGGGGGAGGAGACAAAAAGGCACACAGAGGGGCTGGAGATAAAAAGAGACACACATAGGGGCTGTATATATCACTGGTGGATGGGGGGGGCAACGGGGCAATTCCCCCCCCACAAGGCTTTCCCCTGCTGGCCGATCTCCCTCCCCGTTCCGCAGGCACCATGCGGGCAGCTGGCAGGGGAGGGAGGAAGAGTGGACCCGAGGAGCTCGAGCTCTAGGTCCTTCTCGCGCGAGCACACAGCATTGCCGCAGTTACCACGGCAATGCTTCGGCTCTCATGAGGGTGAACTCTAGCCCTGGAGCTACGGGCTAGAGTTCACTCTCACCACTGCGACCACTACACCCCCCAACGCCCACACACTGAATCCTTCACACACATTGCACCCCTCACACATTGCACCACTGCTCCTATACACTACTACAGCCCCATATCCCAGCAGACTCCAGGTAAGTTGTCAAACTGTTCTTAAACGGTTTGACCACTTACTCTGGGAGGAGGTCCTGGCACTCCTGGCACCATAACCACTACACAGAGGATTAGTGGTTATTGTGCATGGAATATTTCTTTAAATAATCTACAAGTGCCCCTCCCGGGATCAGGCTCTGGATCCGCCACTGGTATATGACATGTATATTAATGTGCGTATTAGTTATATATATATATTTATATATATATATATATATATATATATATAGAATTATGCCTATTATATTTACACATATTAATGTACATTTATATATGCATAATACACAGAGAAATGTCATTAATATGTAACATATGTAATGAGCAGATATTGGCCCAGTCTTGTTGCTAGGTGCATACTCCAGCACAATAACATATTTAAAGTGAAGAGCACACCCACAGGACTTCAAAATAAAATTATTTTTACAGTTGTGCCCTACATACATTCACCATTTCAGTCCCATTACCAAGCTTTCCTTAATATGTCAAGGTAGTTGGACTGAAACGTTGGTTATATGCAAAGGCACATCTGCTTAAAATAAATCTGCATTTTTGTTTATTTTGAAGCCTATGAGTGCGCTTTTTATGTTGGAGTAATATTAAATTTTAAGTTATCTGTTCTAACTCTGTATCTGCACACTATGCTGGCGCGACACATTATGGGGCTGGTAAAAAATTTTTTCCCAGGGCTGCTTTTAATTCCCAGTCCGGCCCTGTGACTATAGTGACCTTTTAACCCCTTAAGGACCAAATTTCTGGAATAAAAGGGAATCATGACATGTCACACATGTCATGTGTCCTTAAGGGGTTAAACATACAATCAGATATTTGTGGATATCAACACAAAGCATTCTTCAGAAAGAGTGGATTCTAGCAAGTAGAAAATCAAATTACAAGCTTTAAACAAACTCTTAAAGTTGGTTGTTGTCAGTTTTGTATTTTTTTTAGTCTTAATTTTGCAGTTTTGTTATCCATTCAATGCAATTAACAGTGTAATGAATGAATGCAAAATAGTTGCAGAGGTATGGAACAGCCTTTCAGCAGTGGTGGTAGAAGCTAAAACAAAGATATAATTTATGACAGTTTAACCTCTATCAAGGTTGTAAAAAATTGACTGATTGGGTTCTGAGTCATTCCTTAACATTTAAAAAAATAATTATGAATGTTTAATGGTTTAATCTATCAAGAGCACTAAAAATAAAGCGGTAGGGGTTAAAGGACCACTATAGTGCCAGGAAAACATACTCGTTTTCCTGGCACTATAGTGCCCTGAGGGTGCCCCCACCCTCAGGGTCCCACTCCCGTGGCGCTGAAGGGGAAGGAAGGGATTAATCCCTTTCCTTTTTTCCAGCGCCGGGCTCCCTCGGCGCTGGGACTCTCCTCCCTCTTCTTCCGTCATCGGCTGAATGCGCATGCGCGTTCAGCCAGTCCATAGAAAAGCATGCCTCTAGCGGCTGTCAATGAGACAGCCACTAGAGGCTGGATTAACCCTAAAGTAACAGTAAAGTTTACAGCAGAAAGGGTTAACCCTAGCTGGACCTGGCACCCAGACCAATTAATTAAGCTGAAGTGGTCTGGGTGCCTACAGTGGTCCTTTAAGTCCACTATTTAGTTTCTTTTAACCATTATAGGGAAGTATAAAATATCAATAGTATATATTTTGGACCATGTCCTACATATTGCATCATAGGAATGCTAAACCAGAGCTAATTATCTCTTGAACGCCCAGTGGATTGGTTTCTGCTTCTCTGTTTGGTTTGTTTACCCGCCTGCCCTGAGCAGCCCATGCTGAGTCTGTCCTTGTGTTTGTAGTTTTACAAGGTTACTACCCAGAACTAAAATGTGCAAATATGTGATCCAGAATTCCATTCAAAGAATCCGGTATGTCATTAAATAACTTTACCAATTGAAACGCAATTCCTAAAATTTGGTGCTCAGTTTACATTTTAACATAGTAATCTAGGTTGAAAAGTCCATCAAATTCAATCTTAAAAACCCATCTTTTTATGTTATTGATCTAAAAGAAGGCAAAAAAAACTACCTGAAGCAATAGCCAATTGTGCCACAAAAAGGGAAATAAATCCTTCTTGGCCCCATATTTGCAATCAGATTTTTTTTGGAAATGCCTATTCATTTTAACCTTGAATATTTTAGTTTTTCAAAAAAACGTAATCTTACCAACAGTCAATTTTAATGCTGTTGGGTTTATACCATATCATAACTCATAGTGTAAACTGTAGAATTTAGGCTAAAGCAGGCAAGCTGTGAGTTTAGACACGTTTTTGCAATTCTGTTTTATTTCAGCTAATCAAAATTTAATTAAACCCTCATGTCTCATTCCCTTACATTTTTCTTATTATATTCTGTCATTTTTTCTCTCACTTGGGATTTATTGTCTGTTGCCCAGGCAGTTTATTGAATTAGATATTTTGAGGATTTCTATACTGTATTTATAGAAATTCTATTATTTATTTGTCTACATGTGGTTTTTTTCCATGGCTGTTAAAATGCAACCATAAGCTATCAGTAATACCAAAAGCCAATACTGTGCACAGTATTCACATTTGTCTTCACTGACAGCATCAATTCTAGTAAATCTCCAAAGAGGCTTGTTTTCATATTGATTAAGCAACAAAAGTTTTGCAATAAAAAGGTTCAGACAGACCATGCATACCACACCAGCAACTGGCAGAGAAACATGGCCCCGAGAGTTATGGCGTTTGCTGTTACAATGAGAGGACTATAGGCACCCAAACCACTTCAGTTCATTGAAGTGGCCTGGGTGCACTGTCCCTGTCAGTTTAACCTTGCAATTATAATTATTGCAATTATTGATAAACCGCAATAATTACTTTGTAGGGTTAACTCCACCTTTAGTGGTTGTCTACCAGGATATTTAGGAATGACGCAGTATCAATAGCACAAAGCAGTACTGAGTAGACCAGCCTTCCCCAGCCCAGTCCTCATGGACCACCAACAGTCCAGGATTTAGGTATTTCCCTGTTTTATTCCAATGGAGATACTGACACAATCTGGACTGCTGGTGGTCAATGAGGACTTGGTTGGGGAACACTGGATTAGACAGAACTTGTGTGATGTTAGTTGGTAAGAAATATCCGCGTAGCCAAGCATTTCGGGGTAATTTGTGGCAGCTTTCAGAGCAGTACATTATTTTTTGCCTCTGGAGAAGCTGGAGGGCAGATGCTAGGGAGCACTGTTACTCTTATCATAATTTTAAAAATAACTTGGCTGCTTTCAGTAGTTGGCTTTGACTACTGAACGGAGCTATTTCCATTCATATAAAACTCCGCTCAGCACTGGCAAAACCCACAGTACTCACTATATTTATATATTTTACTCCTTCTTCTGGATATAGGTAAGGTTTCACACTGGGGAGAGGTGACTTGTGGCGCTTTGAATATTTTAATAATTTCTTTTTCCTCATTGTTCAATTTGTACTAACTTTGTAGCTGACTTACTGCATATCTCACCGTATATAATTGATAGCCTATGTGGAAGTAATTTATAGCCTGATTGTTGTTGTGTGTAATTGTTCGCAGACAGTTCTTCATTCTCTCTCTTTCAAAAAGAGGAACATTTGATTCTGTTGAGAAATGTATACAAACTGTCCAGTGTTACAGCATCAACATACTGTTATTATGTTACCCATGTCCATAGCACCATCCCCAGGTTACTTTCCTACAATCTCTCAGCATTGACAATGTCCAGTGCCCTCCTGTGGCTTGTCTCTGTGCCAGCGTTGACCCTTATTCTGATGATCAGTAAAACGTTAGTTGTCACCTGTGTGCTTTTGCTGTCATGCACATGTCTTCATCAACAGCAGATGCCACACAGCTTGTTGTAGGACTCTATAATTAATCATCACTGGTGTTTCAGGACACTGGTTCATGTTCAATGTTTATACTAGCTTGGTTTCTATTTTACAACTATATTATGTTAAGGTGGGCTTATTATAAGGACTGGGTACACATTCTTCTGTTTCTTTTTATATTCCTTCATATTTTTCTCTTTGTCATTGCCCCAATGTATTTGCTTAGTGTCTCCCCAAGGTAAAAGAGTAATCTAGATGTGGACCCATGCTCACTGTACACTTCACAGCTAAGGCCCAAACAAAGACAACTGACTGTCTGGAGTTGCTCATGTAGGTGGAACTTGCCAGCATTTCAGATACTGACTTCCCTTATGAATTGGATCAGTCTGCTATGAAAATGGACTAGGTTCTCTCTATAATGGCACATGTGACCAAAAAGCTGGTTGATATCTGAGTGAGGACGAGCTAGTGTTTACATACTGCACTCGCAATGGGTGGCCAGTCATCTATGGGTTCATAATTATTATACCAGTATTGATTAATGTAAAAATTAACTTTGTTATGAAACCCTAGCAGGTGACACAATGCATAAAAAATGCAGAGGTTTACCCCAAACCCTGACAAGCGGCAGAAACAATAGAGGATCTTATTCAGCTCTTTGCCTCGATGAGGTGCTGGCCCTACGGTTCACAGATAAAAAGGATGTATACATGCTGTCTACAAGGCACGACAACAGTGCCAGTGTATGTCAGAGGAAGAACTGAGCAGCTGGAAAAATGAAGGGCAATGTAGACAACAACAAATATAATAGCGGGGGTAGCCTTGGCCAGGGCCGCCACCAGAAATTTTAGGGCCCCTGACAAAGCACAAGGTTTGGGCCCACCCCGCAATGAATGCAGGGTGTGTGTCAGTGTAATGAATGCAGTGTGTGTGTCAGTGTAATGAATGCAGAGTGTGTGTTAGTGTAATGAATGCAGAGTGTGTGCTAGTGTAATGAATGCAGAGTGTGTGTTAGTGTAGTGGATGCAGTGTGTGTGTTAGTGTAGTGAATGCAGTGTGTGTGTGTGTGTGTCAGTGTAGTGAATGCAGTGTGTGTGTTAGTGTAGTGAATGCAGTGTGTGTGTTAGTGTTGTGGATGCAGTATGTGTGTGTTAGTGTTGTGGATGCAGTGTGTGTGTTAGTGCTGTGGATGCAGTGTGTGTGTCAGTGTAATGAATGCAGTGTGTGTGTGTGTTTACTAGTGTATGCATGTAATGTGATACAAGTTATTCCTCCCTCCCTGTTTCTTACCTGTGTCCAGGGAGGGGGGAAGATTCCATGATCCCTGTTGGTCCGGTGGCATTGTGGGCCCCTCCCCCCCCCCGGCTCCCTGTATTTGCAGAGGGGGTCCAGCGGACTGCAGGAGCACTTTACAGCATTTCCCTCGCTCTCACTCCCGCGAGATGTGGTGTGCGCGTAACCCATGGCAACGCTGTAACGGCCGCACGTCTCGCGGGAGTTAGAGCGAGGGAAATGCTGTAAAGTACAGCTGCAGTCCGCTGGGCCCCCCTTGCAAATACAGGGAGCCTGGGGCCCGCGGCTGCACCTATATATAACGATCATTGCTATATATAGGTGCAGAGAGTAATTGTGGGGCCCTGGACTGCCAAAGCAGTCCGGGCCCCTCAGGACCGCCGGGCCCGTGACAACCGTTATGGTTGTCACCCCCTGATGGCGGCCCTGGCCTTGGCTGATAAATGTATACAGCCTTGTCTGGTGAACAGAAAAAGTAGGTCCTGGTATGATAAAATTGCAATCTTTTTAAGTCAGGTTGCAAATGTCAGTGTCTATGTGCTGTATAAAAATGTAGCCATAGGAAAGCTATAATAATTTCTTGAATTTTTGTTGGAACTTTTGTCCGATATTTTTTTTTCCCAGTCCCCTAATCCTCCTTCTTTTGCAATCAGAAGATGTTCAAAGACTTTGTGGAAAGCACTTTTCTTCTTAAATCTCCCACACACACTGTAAAAAGTCACATCAGAGAAAGTGTTGTGTTTGCAGTAAGAAAGGAGTCCAAAAGTACTCCATTTATTATTACCATTCCTGCCCATCTTCACCTGCCCTCTGCATAACAGATTGTTTCAGAGTCTACTAAACAGAGGTGAACTATTGAATCACAAGGTCTGTATGGGACCTTGTCAGTTTGTTTGATTGTTTTGGATTTCTGACCTCGGCTTGTCCTGATTACTTTTTGTTAGCTGCCTGTCCTGACTTATTGGCTTATTATATCAACTACTCTGACTTCTGGATAACCCTTTCTTTTGGCCTGTCATTGCTAACGTTAAGCCCAGCCATTATAAAGTGACTACACCAAAGAACTCAAAATACTACATTTAGAATACTTGTTAAAATTAGGGATGTGAATGGGAAAAATTTTCGGTTCGGTTTGGCATTCGGAACTTTGGCAACTTCGGAAACTTCGGCACCTCGACACTTCGGAAATTCGGTAATTTCGGAACTTCGGGACCTCGGCAATTCGGCACTTCAGAATTTCGGCAATTCGTCACTTCGGAACTTCAGCAACTTCAGAACTTTGTCACTTTGACACTTCAGAACTTCAGGACCTCGGTAATTCGGCAATTCGTCACTTCAGCTATTCGGACATTCATAAGTACCCGAATGTCCAAATTCCCAGAAATTCGTCCGATTTCATATACGGAATTGCACATGTCTAGTTAAAATGGTATGCTATCATGGGGACAAATGTATTTTTTAGGGTGTCATGTTCTCGCAAAGGCAACATTGGCCCAGAAAATCATTTTGTCAATTCTACAAGTTGAAAAGTTGAAAAGGCAATCAAATATATTTGGCTCTTTGCCTTACCAAAAAGAACCTGAGAAACCTATACATGGGGTTATTCTTATTTTTGCAAGACAATGTGTAATACAAATGCTGAGGCTGTATTGCACTAACTCATTTAAGGATTCTGAGATTTCCTGTGAAAATGGAATTTCTGTTTGTTAAAAAAAAAAACATAAATTAATATATAACCAATATTTGGGGCTGGCAGTTGTGATTAATTGGCTAGACCAATTAACTCAAATTACGCCATTTGGAACTTTTGAAAATGGTATGCCTTAATTTTAGAATATTGTGTTCATGTATACTGATGCAACAACTTGTATGTATATATATTACGTTTTGTATACTGTCCCTTCAGCAGGTGGTGCTGTTTTCATGTTTTACTGTTCATTGTTTTATGTGGTATCTTCTTATTTGTCAGAATAAAAAAAATCATGGCATTCTTCAGCCATGTTTGTGAGGAGATAAGACTGCGCACACTTTATTTTTCTGTAGAGACTTTCAGAATATTCAACATATAATGGTGTAAATGTTATTACCCAGGCTGCCAAACTCTATCAAAGGCAACATTGGCTCCGATTTTCTAATATATTTGTCCCTGTAACCAATCCCGCCCCCCCACCCCCAAAAAAACCCAAACAAACTGGAAAATGGGTGCATGTGGGTACTGTTATACTTGTGAGACAATGTTTAATCAAAATACAGAGGCTTTATTGCACTAACCCATATCAGGAATATGAAATGTCCTGTGCAAATGCATGTGAGGTCATGTGTGTACAAAAGCACAAATAAATGTATAACCACTAAAGTGGTTAGACCAAACATCTCAAAATATGCCATTAGTAATACTCTGGGTTGCCTACTTTTGAAAATGATGGAAATACTCTCTCAAAGGCAACACAGGCACAGAAAATCACTTTGTCAGATTTCCAGGTATGAAGGAAGGGGGTACTGTTGTAGCCACGAGACATATTTGAACATAAATATGAGTGTTTTAGAGCAGTAAAACATATAATGACATTGATATCATCAGTGAAAGTGGAGTTTTTGTGTGAAAAATGCAAACAAATAAGAACACTAACTTTGGCAAGGGTTTATGATTAAGAAGCTACTAAAAAAGACTGCGCAGACCCCATTTTGAATACCCTGGGTTGTCCACTTTTGCAAATGGTATGCCATGATATGGGTCATTTTAATTCCCGAACTGCTATACAGTCTCAAAGGCAACATAAGACCAGCAAACCAATCTGGCCAATTTCAATATATAAAAATAGGTATAGGCAAGCTCTTTATTTGACCCTATAACTTTCCAAAACACCATGAACCCTGTAAATGAGGGTCATCATTGTACTTGGGGGACATCACAGCATACAAATATGTGTATCTTATTGCAAAAAGCTAACAGTATTATGAAGCTCACAGTTAAAATCCCATGCAGAACTTGGAAAATCAATGTCTTGATTTCTCAAATTTGTTTTAGATTTTATTCATATTAAATTATGTTTCATATATAAATATTTGATGTGAAATCAAAGCCCTATTTCATCTGCACAAAATAATATAAAATAAGTGTTGGTAACATCCACAACACTCATCCCACCAAATGCGACTACTACAACTACGACATGACCTGACCTCACTACTCCATTCCAAACACCACAGGGACGTGATCAGACACAAGGCCTTTTTTTTCCCTACATGGAAACAAAAGCGGCAAACTCCTAGCTAGAATGCTGACGAAATGAAAATTAGGGACAAACAAGACTCACTACGCCGCCTACCGACAGAGATACTGAAAACAGTGAGAGCTTACTACTCAGAGCTATACTCGCTCCCCCAACCACAGTCAGAAACAGCGACTACTCGCTTAAGAAACTCCATCCAGCAATACACGCTAACACATAAACTACCCACATTAGATAAGCAGGTCACAGACCAACTAGATGAGCCCATCACAATGGAGGAAATGGCACTCGCAATAAAAAACACCAAACCTGGTAAGAGCCCAGGCCCAGATGGCCTGCCACTCTGCTATTATAAACGCTTCGCAGACAAACTATACCAACCGATGCTGGCCTCATTTAACGCGGTGAGAGAGGGCCACCGCTTCCCCAAGCAGGCGTTGACAGCGCACATAACCATCATTCCCAAAGAGGGCAATGACGTAGAGCACTGTGGGAATTACAGGCCCATTTCCCTAATCAACTGCGATATCAAATTGATGGCAAAGATCTTGGCCATGCACCTGCAGCCGCATATACCCACACTGGTCCACCCAGACCAAGACGGGTTCGTAGCAAACTGTGAGGCAAGGGATAACACCATAAGGGCCCTTGCCCTCATGCACAACAAGAAAAAAGACACCAGGGGCCTTCTTCTGCTGTCTACAGATGCAGAGAAGGCCTTCGACAGGGTGAGATGGGAGTACTTGTTCCAGATCCTTGCCCACATGGGACTTGGACCCCACATGCGCAGATGGGTCGAGGCCATGTACGATGGACCCACGGCTCATGTGATAGTGAATGGGGCACTGACGGACGAGTTTCCCATACATAATGGCACCCGCCAGGGCTGCCCACTATCCCCGTTGCTCTTCGTCCTTGCCCTTGAACCCTTCCTGACAGCACCACGACATCACAGGCATAAAGGCAGGGGACACACATCACAAAGTGGCCGCCTATGCAGACGACCTCCTCTTTTTCGTTTCTCGACCAGAAATCTCCCTCCCCAACATATTTCAAGCCTTTAAAACATTTGGAGTCATCTCCAACCTAAAAATAAATTACTCCAAATCATACATCCTGAATGCTGACCTGCCCAACGGCCGAGCCTCCCCCCTAAGTGCAAGTTTCCCATTCCAGTGGGTGGAACATAAAATACGCTACCTGGGTACGTGACTGACCAAACAAAAGGGGGACCTATACAGGGAAAACTTCACCCCTATGCTAAACCTGTTCAGGAGAGAACTAACAGAATGGTCCTACCCACATATCTTGTGGCTGGGAAGGATCCAAGTTATTAAAATGAACCTCCTCCCACGCCTACTCTATTTATTCCAGATGCTCCCCATAACGATCCCCAAAGTCTTCTTTACCACTCTGCAATCGATGACAGGTGGCTACATATGGAACAGGAAAAGACCAAGGATTAAGTTCCAGGCCCTCACACAACCCAAGGAAAGGGGAGGGCTGGCTATCCCAGATTTCTACTTATATTACACGGCAGGGCACTTACAGAGAGTCATGGAATGGACCAAGACTAACGTACACAAGCAGTGGAAGTCGGTGGAGGAGACGGAGGGACCAGTTTAGGTCCTTCCGTGGTGCTCCGGGAGGGGGCTCGGCCGGGCTGCTCCTCTTTAGCACAGCATACCTTACGAGTATGGCACAGGGCGTCCTGGACACACGGACTAACCCAACACCCATCACCTCTGCTACCCCTAACACACAATCACAACTTCCCCCCCGGCCTCGACCCGAGCGCTTTTAGGGACATCATCCATACACCCATCCCCAGACTACACCACATTTACACACACTCGGGCCGGAAGACACTTCCTGATAGAGAACGTACCCCCTACATTCCTACAAACCTTTAAATACAAACAACTATCGAGCTATATAAACTCCCTCCCCGGGGGACGAGCCCATGCTAGGAACCCGACTACCTTCGAAGAGTGCTGGATGCACCCAGACCCTCTACCCCATGGCATTTCATTCCTATACTCACTACTACAAAGGGAGACCCCGACAGAGACTCCTGCCTTCAAGGGCAAATGGGAAACCACACTGGGGAGGACTTTTACCGAGACAGAGTGGGGAAAAATATGCTATCTCACACACCACTGTTCTACCTTCACCAAGACACAAGAGACGGCATTCAAACTGCTGAGCCACTGGTACCGCACCCCAAATATGCTACATGCAATAGACCCCTCACGCTCCGACTTATACTGGAGGTGTGGAGAGGCAAAGGGCACTACACACCTATGGTGGGAATGTCACAGAATTAAACCATTCTGGATGGGCATACACAACATCCTAGGGAAATTCTCTGATGCACCACCACCACTAGAGCCAGCAGCAATGCTCCTACACCACACGACCGTACCCAGATCCCGACATAAGAAGTCCATGACCATTAGAATCCTTAATGTGGCCAAACAGGTTATACCTCAATGCTGGAGACAAGATAAGACCCCTCCTCTCAGGACATGGTTCACCCAAATGGAAGAGCTCAGGGCGATAGAAGAATTACACTCGGGGGCGACTAACACCACCGAAAAATACATGGAGACCTGGACACACTGGATTGTAACCACCACACAGGCAGATTTCACCGCCCGACTAGACACAGAAGTCCCACCTGACAGAACTGACGCCATCCCTGCCCCACCCATTCCCCCACACCACCCGCAGCCTCCCCTCTTCTGTCCTCTCCCCCGCATACCCCCCCTTCCTCCTCCTTCCCACAAATCTCACTTGGGCCGCAGACATATACCATACGAAGCCTTGGGGTGACTTACGGATCGCCGACACAGTACTAACCCATCACCTCCCTCACTAAAGATGAGACTGCACACAGAAAAGACCTAGGTGTCCTATCGGACACTAAGTGGGAGGCAGCAAACAAACAAACCAGGGGGAACATGAGAAAATAACAATAGATACCTAACCACCGTATTGCCGAACAGGGACCTGCGAGTCCATCATTGAAGTGGGCCTGCGAGCCCGAATACTTACTTGTTTTCATACATGTTCTGGCACATGTTGTGCTTTAGTTACAATATGCTTGAAGAGACCTGCGAGTCTCACTGTGAAAGTACAATGACAATAAAAATATATTTACAAAAAAAATAAGTGTTGGTGCGTTTAATATGAAAGAGGTAAATTATGGTTGCACAAACATATAGCCAAAATTCTAGGTTTTGTTTTGGTTAAGAACTTTTACACTGCCTCCGTTCTTATGGGATTATACTGCAATAGTGTATCCTGTACGGAAGGAAATTAGTGTTTTATTTATATTTCACATACTTCAATCCCACGCCACCATTTTTGCTTTTAGTGTATATATTCCAGGTGTTTTAGCGTTACCCTGAGGTGTTGATGATTGTCTCTACATGTATATAAGAATCGCTGTATTGCTAGTTTCAGTTTTCTTGCAAAAAAATATATTAGCATGGTTTCTCCAAGCTTGAGAATCTACAGAGAAGAGATTACTTCATGCCCCATTTGACTTCTTTTGCATTGATTCATTTTATCCAGTGACTTAATGTATCTTTATTGCCAAACCTCTAGTCCAATATATCCCATAACGGTACAAGTGATTAAGGGCTGTTTGATAACTGTAGTTCTGAAAGAAGCAAATAGAATTGGCACTTTAACTAATAAGACAGAGATAGTGATAAAATATTTCAAACACATATTAAAAGTAAAACTGGTTATTAATGCTTTATCCAAATTTTGCAATGATAGAATTAAGGGAGAATGCACAAATTTGCACAATAATAAAATATACATATGTTGCTATTTTAATTTTATTCACTCTTGTGCTATCTATCTATCTATCTATCTATTTATCTATCTACAGTATATATATATACAGGGAGTGCAGAATTATTAGGCAAATTAGTATTTTGACCACATCATCCTCTTTATGCATGTTGTCTTACTCCAAGCTGTATAGGCTCGAAAGCCTACTACCAATTAAGCATATTAGGTGATGTGCATCTCTGTAATGAGAAGGGGTGTGGTCTAATGACATCAACACCCTATATCAGGTGTGCATAATTATTAGGCAACTTCCTTTCCTTTGGCAAAATGGGTCAAAAGAAGGACTTGACAGGCTCAGAAAAGTCAAAAATAGTGAGATATCTTGCAGAGGGATGCAGCACTCTTAAAATTGCAAAGCTTCTGAAGCGTGATCATCGAACAATCAAGCGTTTCATTCAAAATAGTCAACAGGGTCGCAAGAAGCGTGTGGAAAAACCAAGGCGCAAAATAACTGCCCATGAACTGAGAAAAGTCAAGCGTGCAGCTGCCACGATGCCACTTGCCACCAGTTTGGCCATATTTCAGAGCTGCAACATCACTGGAGTGCCCAAAAGCACAAGGTGTGCAATACTCAGAGACATGGCCAAGGTAAGAAAGGCTGAAAGACGACCACCACTGAACAAGACACACAAGCTGAAACGTCAAGACTGGGCCAAGAAATATCTCAAGACTGATTTTTCTAAGGTTTTATGGACTGATGAAATGAGAGTGAGTCTTGATGGGCCAGATGGATGGGCCCGTGGCTGGATTGGTAAAGGGCAGAGAGCTCCAGTCCGACTCAGACGCCAGCAAGGTGGAGGTGGAGTACTGGTTTGGGCTGGTATCATCAAAGATGAGCTTGTGGGGCCTTTTCGGGTTGAGGATGGAGACAAGCTCAACTCCCAGTCCTACTGCCAGTTCCTGGAAGACACCTTCTTCAAGCAGTGGTACAGGAAGAAGTCTGCATCCTTCAAGAAAAACATGATTTTCATGCAGGACAATGCTCCATCACACGCGTCCAAGTACTCCACAGCGTGGCTGGCAAGAAAGGGTATAAAAGAAGAAAATCTAATGACATGGCCTCCTTGTTCACCTGATCTGAACCCCATTGAGAACCTGTGGTCCATCATCAAATGTGAGATTTACAAGGAGGGAAAACAGTACACCTCTCTGAACAGTGTCTGGGAGGCTGTGGTTGCTGCTGCACGCAATGTTGATGGTGAACAGATCAAAACACTGACAGAATCCATGGATGGCAGGCTTTTGAGTGTCCTTGCAAAGAAAGGTGGCTATATTGGTCACTGATTTGTTTTTGTTTTGTTTTTGAATGTCAGAAATGTATATTTGTGAATGTTGAGATGTTATATTGGTTTCACTGGTAATAATAAATAATTGAAATAGGTATATATTTGTTTTTTGTTAAGTTGCCTAATAATTATGCACAGTAATAGTCACCTGCACACACAGATATCCCCCTAACATAGCTATAACTAAAAACAAACTAAAAACTACTTCCAAAAATATTCAGCTTTGATATTAATGAGTTTTTTGGGTTCATTGAGAACATGGTTGTTGTTCAATAATAAAATTAATCCTCAAAAATACAACTTGCCTAATAATTCTGCACTCCCTGTATATATAAATTTAATTGATTTTCTCATTTATTTCCCATTCTCGGGTGGCAGGGAGTCTGAGGTGTATCTTAGCTGTTCTAGAACTGCCCTCTTCTACAGAGCGATCTCAGATGTCCCACCTGGAATCTGTTGAAGCCTCTAGCCCAGCTTGGGAGTCACAGCCCCAAGTGCTCCTATTACAACTGTGACTACTACTGCCTTCACTTCCCACATCCTTTCTAGCTCTTCTTTTAGTCCTTGTATTTCTCCATCTTCTCATGTTCCTTCTTCCTGATGTTATAGTCACTGGGTATTGCCACATCCAATAGTTTATTTTATTGACAAAATTATTTGGACACCTCTCCTTTACACCAAAATAAACTTTTATAATATCACATTCTAAATACTTAGACATTAATATGTGGTTGGTCCTCCCTTTGCAGCTACAGCTTCCAATCTTCTGGAAAGGATTTCAACAATATTCTCGACTGTTTCTGTGGGAATTTTTGCCCATTCATCCAGTAGAGCATTTGTGAGGTCAGACACTGATGTTGGACGAGGAGACCTGGATTGCAATTTACATTCCCGTTCATCCCAAAAATGTTCACACTACTAATAAGGCAACATTCCCTTCTATTAAAAGCCCTTCTCCTACACCAAGGTCCATCCAGAGACCAACTCTATTACAAAAGCTGCGGAAACAGCAGACCACATGTTACCATCGGAGATCACGCCTCACCAGGCCACCTGCATTCTCCCAGATGGGAAGACAAAGGCTCCCGGGGCTCTCCAAAAGGGTTACAACAAAGTCTATGCAATTACTTTGGTCAGGGACTGGGAAGAGGCTCTGGCACCACATGGACTACACAATAGTATGAAAATTCATAGGCTGACAACATTGTATCTCTCCTCATAAACTGTCCTGCTTTGCAGACACCAAGCGCTCCCTATCTTTGGCAATGCTGACCTCCATCGTTAACTAGTCTATGATAAATGTTATTACTGGGTTTCTTTTCTTCATCTTTTCCTTATTCTCCTACTCCTCACCTGCAATTGCCTCGTTAAGCTGCCCAGTGGTATTTCGCTCTTATATTTACAGAGTTCACTCTGCTATATTCTATATTGTCTCGTGATTGCCACTGATAGAACTGTGTTTCAAATGATTTAATGGATCATTCTCATAAAATGTGCAGTACTCAATGTTTTGCCATTTACGCATCTGCATGTACTCTTGTAGACTGTCTGTGCCATCTTGTCTTGTTATGCACTGTACTACTAAATAAAGAATGTAAAAAAAAAAAAAAAAGATGGCACTTCAGTTGACGTAAAGGGCCTAGCCCAACCTCTGAAAAACATACTCATACCATTGTCCCTCCTCCACCAAACTTTACAGTTGGCACAATGCAGTCAGGCAGGAAATGTTCTCCAGGCATCCGCCAAATCCAGACTCAACCATGAGACTGCCAAACAGAGAGGCGTGCTTCATCGCTCCATTGAACACATTTCAACTGCTCTAGAGTCCAGTGGCAGTGTGGTTTACTTGGTGATATGAGGCTTGCATGCAGCTGTACGCCATGGAAGCCCATTCCATGAAACTCCCGCCGCACAATTTATGTGCTGATATTAATGCCAGTGGAAGCAAGCTTGGAATGCTTCAGCTATGGAATCAGCAGAGCGTTGGCAACTTTTATGCACCACGTGCCTCAACACTCGGTGACCCGGTTCTGTGACATTACTTGGACTTCCACTTCATGGCTGAGTTGCCACTATTTCACTTTCCAATACCACTTACAGCTGACTATGGAATATCTAGCAGGAATGATATTTTATTAATTGACTTATTGCAGAGGTGGGATCCTATCACAGCACCATGCTTGAAATCACTGTGCTCTTCAGAATGACCCAGCCTTTTCCAGCTTATTTATGTTGGGCTAAATTTACATTTTAATTCCATGCCTGTGTGGAACCTAAAAAATATATATTTTTTCACCTTTTTTTCTCTTTCAAGCCATATGGATCTAGATTTCTTACAATAGCACAGTTATTTGCTAATGATAGCAATTTCAAATGTGATTGGAAACATTAGAACTCTGTATTTTCCAGTGCTACATTGTTTGCTATTTGTGATACATCTTAATGCTCCTGAGTTTACGCAGGACAAATCCACACAAAGCAACCAGCAGCATCCACACATAGCAACACATAGCAAGGGTTTATCTGGTATTTGGGATGCTGAGTAACAATATTAAATTCATGTTATTGGCTGTTACTCATTGTCTGCAGTCCAGTGTTTAACTTGTTTGATCTATGGTATGTACAGGGTGCAATCTGTTGTAAATAAACAGGAATAAAAATAATAATAATAATAGAGGAACTATATATTCCTCCAAGGCAAGGAAGTTGGGACTCCACTCTGAAATATAGACCTTCCCATAGATTCTTACTTAGTCGTAAACACCAAGGTCAGATGGAGTTCTGGAGGACACACAACTTCTCGGTCCCTTGAACATGACCAAATTAAATTATCCGCCCGCGGCATGGGACGTAGCAAGGAACAGGTGGGAAGCCGTCGGCTGCCTGCTTGGAATTCTTTGTATTCATCCTGCAACTCACGAGGTGGAAGGATGAGTGGCCATGATCTGTCCCTGTCTCGTACCATTCTGTTAAAGGCTGCATTTTGTGAATATAATATATTATGAAACTATTGTATTATTCTAAATATCCTTATTCAGCAACCCATAGTGAGCACGGTGTAAACAATATTGGTACATAATTTCAAAACACTTTACATATTATCACGTGCTAAGCTCATCAAGTGTTGACTATGCTGTATAACAGGTGTCAGGTATATTGTGTCTGACACTTTTCATTACGCTTTTTACCCATTTTACAGAATGCTCACCAGATGTAGGGTTTATGCAGATAAATTTATATAAAATGTAATGAGGCAGGAAGGATACATAATGGCAAATTGTGTATTATGGGAAAATAATGTAATTGAAGCTAAGAGTTAAGCAGTTTGCGGAAGTCGACAGAATTCCAAGTGGTGTTATTTAACTGCTGTGTTTGGTTCAGTGATGTATTTTTTACTTCACAATTTTCTTTTCTTTTTGTTATATATATATATTTTTTTTATATTGGTTTGTTCCACGGCTGTTGAATTCAACATATGCACACTCACTGACCAACACAGACACTTCTGCACATGCATACATGCGCAGACACATTCACACGCTAATAACTATACACAGACCTAAATATTGACTCACGCAGACAATCTTGCGCACACACATATTGACACACAGTTATACACACTTGCTGTGATTACATTCCAGACCAACAGTGGCTCTTGCTGGACTGTACTTATTCAAATAAAGACCCAGATTCTGTCCCTTTCCCCTTAGTCATGTGCTGGGTGAGGTACTAGGGAGAGTGAAATGTGTCAGTCAACTCACCTGGTATATATCTACAAAAATAGGGAGAATAATGTTAGCAGTGGCTTCAGGCTGGAAGTGGGACTCCCATTAATCAGGCAGAATGAAACATATATAATGTGTTATAATACCATGAACCTTAACATTTAGAAACCCTGTGAATTATGGTGCCATACGGGGTATTTCGGAACTTAAAGGGTTCTTTTGAAAGTACATACAAATGCATCTATATATTGTCAGTAAATGTATAGTTTGGGAGAAAAAAACTATTAAAAATAGATCTTTCTCTGACCTGTCAGGGAATTCTCTGCATGTTGAGAGCAGGACAGGCATTGGTAATTTTCCCTATTCCACCAATGTAACCAATGCTTTCCCCTGTCCATCGGGAAGCATCTGGCTTTTTCAGGGTAGAACCACTGTGTCCACCGACATCATCACACTTCATAAGTCCAGTATATCTCCTGGCAGATGGTGTGTTTTTCCCACAATAGCATTTTAAGAGCCAATGTGATATTTTATGTGCCATTGGATGAGTTTTTTTTAAAGATGTTCTGTTATTAAAATTGACACAAAAAACCTGCCGGTTCCACTGGTTTCCATAGTCATTGTCCCACATTTAGACTAGTTTTTAGAACAGAACAGTTTGATAAATCTTCCCTATTGTTTCCATGAAAATGCCAATGACTGAGGCAGTCACCATATGATTGCAATTTTAGACCATGATATATGATGCCCACATTTGAAGCGTACTAATGTAGAGGATGGAGGAGGTGGTCCCCCAACAGGCAGCAAGAGAGTGATACCTGACCAATACCTGCGAGGCAAGTGCCTTCTCTGACTATGCCATGTAGCACAGTGGCAGGGGAGCTTCAGAGATCAGTCTCTTCCCTGACATTCCAGCTCCTTTGTCTCCCCGTGCTAATACCGAGAGCCAGAAAGTTGTGCAATCAGTGTACAGACTGATCCCAGCAGCACACCACTGTACAACAAGGATAAAGCTCTTATAAAAATCAAATGTGTGTATGTGTGAATAAGCATATGTGTGTATATGAATGTGAGTGTGTGTAAATGAGTGTGTACATGTGTCTGCATGGATTTTATGCATGTGTACGAATATGAGTTTGTTTATGTGTCCGTATAAAAAAAAGAGTGTTATATTGTAATTTTTCTAACAACTGGGTGTTAGGAGCATATATTAAATTTTTCACAAATTATGAAAAATATATTGTTTTGGATTTTCTTTTTTAATGAGTGGATCTAAGCAATTTTCTCATTTTTCTTCTCTCATTGGATCTCTAGGTGGCTTGTTCTTGCCATTGCCATGGCTCGGTTTTACTTGGAGAAAGGAACACACAAGGGTTTGTACAAAAGTATTCAGAAGACACTTAAATTTTTCCAGACATTTGCTTTACTTGAGGTAAATTACACTTTTGTTTCCAAGTATTTGGGCTGTTGCAGTTACTATTATTTGTATATTTTATGAGGTGCATAACTAGACAGATATGGAAATCATTTTATTCTTAAAGCGACACAATAGTGCTTGGAATGCAATGCTGTATTCCTAACACTGTACTGTCCCTTTGCCTCCGTGGCCCCCCTCAGTTGTCCCCCCAGGCATGCAAAAGGTTAAATAACCTTTTAAACACTTACCTGGTTCAAGCGCTGACGTAGACAACCACTGGAGGGACACTGCACCTGGACCACGTCAATGAGATGAAAGTGCCTATAGTGTCCCTTTTAATTAAGAAATTATTTAGATTTATGTTTTTTGAGTTGTCCAAAATACAAGACTTTTAGTTCTCCCAACAATCTGGGACATTGGCCCTTGACGGAATCTCCTACTCTATCAACCTTGCTGATCTCCTTTTCCTATTCTTTTGCATCCTCTCCTTTTTTAATCTTTCCACTTTTTCTCTACACTTCATCTTTCTCTTTCCCTTTCTATCAGTTTCAGTTAATATTCGAAGGCAGTATATGTAATTCCCCACACCCTCACCCTAAAGTGCAGAAATAACAAAATAATTTATCTTTTTATCTTTTAAACATACAGCTACCCCACGGGATATCCAAGATAATGTCCCCTTTCAGAACAGCCACAGCCAATGTACAATGTATATACATTGTGCATTGAATATTCGAGGGCAATGCTGTATTTCACAGGCAATTTGAAGCTAATGGAATTCTCAATAATTGATCATGAAATTTAACATTTTACATCATAATAGCGGAAAATGGGAAACTCAAATTAATCTGTTAAATTTTCAGTCTAGTGATTTTCAGATAAAAAAAATGTTCCAGTTTTAAGTTTTTCTAAGTGCCTCATAGACTGACTTATAACTAACTCAAAGTGAATTTTAGATTTAAGCCCACAGTGGATAAACTGAAAGCATAGCTGGCTTACAGAATGTATGGCGTCTGGAGTGTGTCTGTGCACTGTTTCACTTAGAAATGCTCTATGTACAGAGATTAACCACTTGGTTACTGGAGATTTAACTCCACCTCCAACAGCGTCATTAGGGAAAAGTTCTCGTCTGGCTAATGTCAACTCTTTGCAAAATTTGCATCTAGCGCCAGCATGCAGAGCAAGTTGGTGCCAGACAACCAATGGCGGCATGCACCCACTCCGTGCCGCCTCTGTTCTCCGTTAAGCCCATCCTCCGTGACCTACCTCATCTTCCCCTGAGGGGGAATGACTAGTCTAGGAGGATTGGGTTTCTGGAAGAACTTGATCTCATTGCAGAACAGAAGTAAGTTTTAGCATTTATTTATTTATACATGTTTTCAAATTGGGAGGAAGGTGAGCCACCTCAGAAAGGTTTAGATCTAATTAAAACCAGTGTTTTGAGATTCACTTTCAATGTTTACTTTGGTAAATAATATTGACAGAATTTAGTGTAGACTTTAGAGCCTAATTTCGCACTTCTTCTCTAAATTGAAATAGAGAATGGGATATTCTACTAAAGAGAGATTTGTTGAGAATTCAAATTGGATTCAAAGTGAATTTAAAATTCAATATCAAAACAGACAAACTTTGACCTTAAATTTGAAATTCACTTTGAATTCCCACCAATTCTCACTTTAGTAATTAACAAATTGGTTGCTTCTGACAAGAAACAAACTAAGTTAATTTACCACACTTTTAATCATCTCATCATCCCATCATCTCATCATCCCATCAGCCATCTGTTTAGAATGTTCAGTTTTTATTGCAATGTAGAGAAAATAAAATAATTATTATAATTAAAAATGTGTGTGCTAAATCTTGAATTGCCTTTTTTTGGTAAGCATTCCATGGATTAATGGGATAGATGTAAAGAGAAAGGGTGGACAGATATTGAACTCAATAGATTACTCACCGATTTGTTTTCTTGGTTTCCTTTACAGTTGGTCCACTGCGCACTTGGTAAGTTATTATCCTTTTCTTCTTGTAATCATTTACTTGTTCTAAACATAAAAATGTCAAGACGTGATAATATTCGTAATTTTTTTTTTTTTTTAGGATTGGTGCGCACATCGGTGCTAGCAACAGGGGTCCAAGTCAGTTCAAGAATCTTCATGGTGTGGTTGATAACTAATAGTATAAGACAGGTAGGTGTTAGAACTCCATTAGATTTCAAACATCTAACAAAAATGGAAAATTTCATTGGTTTAGACTCTGCCTAAAGTGTAACTCAAAATAAAATGTGTTATCCTATTCAATTTTAGAGATCTACAAGACACACTGTATCTAAATAAACAGATCCATATACCGTAATCATAATGTAGAAGTACAAGTTTCTACATGGTCATTTTTCAAAAGCCACTACTACTCTATTTTTTATTTCAATTAAATGCTTCTTGGAGACGCTGTAGGCACTTTACGAACTATCTGCAGACAAGGCTGGTTAAGAAGAGTAGCTCACATTCGAAGGTCCTGGGCTCCGATCCACATTTCTTTTGTGGTGACTGCAAAAATTCTATAACACATTGCAAACATGTTTTCTGTAATTGATATACTACAAGCCTACCATTCATTTATCCAAGATTAGCCTTGGGTTTGAATGATATTGACACATAATGGAATACATTATATATATTCTTTTTGAGTAGGGATCAGTACATGTTAGTTAATGTTTCTAGAAAAAAATTAATGTTCATTACAAATTATTCTACATTTTTATGGCTTGGAAATAGATCTCCAGCAGTTCCAAAACTACAATTCCCATGATGTTTCACCCACTTTATAGGTGTTAAAGTGGGTGCTTTGGATCTTCAACAGATGGGGGTCTACCTTTTAGGCTAAAGTATGTTTTAAGCTTTACTAGAAAGTTTATTTTCAATGTTTGGAGGCCGGAGGGTTTATATATATGACTATCATGAAAAACAGAAGATAGGTAAACAGTAATGTTGATAAAAACATCAATTTTCATATTTTCATCTCACCATTGAAGCACATTGAAGATCTGTGGGACATTTGACTCTCCTTTATTCTCCCTATCTACGTTTTCTTTCCAGGATGAGGAGCTCCTGTTCATACTCATTTGGGAGCTGATGGCACTGCCCTCTTGGTGTGCTCAAAAATAATATTTTTTAAAATACACGCAAACACATAGCACCAGATTTCACCCCGCCCCCATGTCTAAAGGAAGACAGTGGATAAGCATTCTACTGCAGTTGCTGCAACCCACTCATGTTTGGTACATAAGGTGAAGGAAAAGCAGAGGGAAAAGGAAAGAAAATGGTCCCAGCTAGCTACAGGTTATTAGGGGTCCCTTAGGACATTTGCAAGAGATTTACTAATTTTAACACCTTCCCTCTCTCTTTGTAATTATGTAACCTATTTGGATCATAAAACAAGTGATACATGCATTTCATACTTGGTACTGATGGCAAAAACAAAACTTGGCGGTTTCTTTTTTTTTTATGTGTGCCTAAATACTTCTAAATCATTATATAATTCTGCAGATCCAAAATGAAGAGAGCGTTCTCATTTTTCTTGTTGTGTGGACGATGACAGAGATCACACGATATTCCTACTACACATTCAACCTTCTCAACCATTTACCGTACTTCATTAAATGGGCCAGGTGGGTACTCTTTGAGCTTGATACTTATTGCAGCATATAAAACTAATATGCCTGTGGGCTAGGGCCCCTTCCTAAAGGGTAACTTTATTTTGGGGTGGGGGATATTATTGGGAGCTATGGTGCTGTTACTAAACATTACGATGGGAACCAAAACAAGCTGATAACCCAAATGGAACCTGCCTCCTTGAAGATATCTGAAAACGTTCCCTCACAACAGTGTCTTCTTGGCTCTAGATCTCTACTCTGATGCTAGCACCATGAACTGCTTTTGGTCAGAACTACAGTTGCAGGTAGGATTCGCAGAACAGATAATCCAGGCACAGATAAATCCACTATATATCCCACCACTGAAGGGACTTCCTAAAGAGACCCAAAGAGCCTACTGTCACAAAGATTGTGATGTTTACTACACACTTAGCCAGAACAAGAATTGACAGAACGGCATTGTGATGGAAAAAAGGGAAATGCATTTGGCTTCAATATGCATTAGTAATTAGACTAGACTAGTGAGTTTATTTTCTTTAAAGATGTAGGTACAGGAGCAGGCGCCTACATTTCATGACTAGTCTAGCCTCTGTATCTGTTCGCCTCCGGAAGAAATACTACTGATTGTGTTATTCCAGTCATTGGCACTTACATTCATGCAAAAATGTGAGGATTTAAAGTTTGTTGCGTAATTACATTACATAATATATTTTTTTTCTATATCTGTTAGGCTAATATCATCCAAGCACCATCAAAATGAACCATTACAAATTAATTTCAAAATTAGAGAGGAAACAAATGTCTTATTAATCTAGAAGGATGTGCCAGGACCAGTCCACCATTGAGAGAATAAGGCTTCCCAAGATGTCCTTAGACCACCCAGTGCTTTTGCAAGAATCTTTGTGATTCTCCTCACAGTGACACTAGCTGTGATTTCTCTCTGCCTGGCCCCCTCTGCTGAATCACAGTGAAACTAGAATGTCAAAAGACTGTCAGGTGAAGATGCGCACTGACATAGTGCACTCCTTATACTGGACCATGAGGAAATCAAAAAGGTTTTCCTTGAGATTAGTGTTATGAGGTTTAGGGTCAAGTTTGGGGGTTTAAATGAGTTGGTGTTTAGGACTAGCTAGGTTTAGAATTAGAGGGTGTTTAGGTTCAGGGGGGTTAAGAATGAGACTTGGGGTTTGTGAATGTTCAGTAGTGGGTAGATTTAGGGTTAAAGAGACACTCTAGGCACCATAATTTCACCGCAATGAGTTATGATGCGATGAGGTCTGTCTTATTGTAAAGGGTGAAACCATTAATGAAAGGTGTTACCCCAGATAATGCAAAATGGGGCTTTATCACTCTGCCTCTCCACTTCCTACGCAGGACTAAGGCTTTAATCAGATAAATCAGTTTGTTTCCATTGAATTCCGCAGATGTGACAAACATGAGAAATATATGTCTGCATTTAATGATATTCCTTGCTATGACGTTATAGCAAGTGACTTTTTAAAAGCATATTTAATTTTCAGAAATAATCAATAATTTACCTTTTTACTTTGAATCAAATAGAATATGGGATGGGAATGTATGTAGTATGTTACCATATATATATATAAACGTATAGACATATATGTCCTGAGGAAAGTGCTAAGAATGAAGGGAAATGTTGACCTCTTATGGATTTTTTGTGACAATAAAGAAGAAGGGTTTTTAAAGAATCCCTGAGTGCTGGTATGATATGAACTTATATATCTATATATATATATATTGCAGGCTTTGTATAATATTGATTTATTTGCCCATTTTTGCAATTTATGGGGTTGAAACTATTAAAATATATTGTAGCCACAAAGAAAAAAAATGTAGTCAGATGATTTTGCCTAATGATTTTACAGAAATCAATTAACCTTATCATTTATAGGAATTTAAGAATATATTCATATGAATACACCAACAGACTATAACGCGTTGCTGAAAAGCACTGAAAAAACTGTAAAACATATAATAAACTACTTTTTACCTAACACTTTTTTAATACCCTTTTTCTGATGAGTATATATTTTTTTCCCCACAGGTATAATTTATTTATTGTCTTGTATCCCATTGGAGTTGCTGGTGAACTCTTAACAATTTATGCTGCTTTACCATATGTGCGGAGGTCCGGAATGTATTCATTGCGACTTCCAAACAAATACAATGTTTCTTTCGATTACTACTACTGTCTCCTTATTGTAATGTGCACCTATATACCATGTAAGTATCTGTGAGTTTTTGACTAAGACATATATTCATAATAATACAATTGACTGTTTAAAGAGGGAAATATGCAACACCGGACTTCACAATGCAGCTCAATGAGAAGTCTTTACAAGGCAGGTGCTCTGGAGTTTAGTTCCACTGAGCTAACTGATTGACAGTCAGGGGGGTGTAACAAAGTTAATTAAAAACATTATTAATTTCTATTGAAATCTGCACTTTTTGTAAAATAAAAAAGAGGACACACTGTTCCCACATAAAGCATTTCAGCAAGCTGAAGTGCTTTAGAGGTCCGGGGTGGTCCTTTAAGCTTCAGAGGTACTCCGCAGAGGATATGAAAGAGAGACAATACATATATACTCTGTGTATAATATTGAAAATTAATCAAATTAAAACCTACTTAGAGGTTTTGGAGCGACCACAAATGGGGGTCAACCTAATAGAATAGGTTGTATTATTCCCACCAAGGATGAATACATACAGGAAGTAGCAGAGTGAAGAAGCAGGGCCAGAATGGTAAAAAAATAGACAATGATTTATTCCCATCCAAGGTAAAAAAGAACTATAAAAGCATAAATATTAACACACGCTACTGCATTTCAACAAAAAGGGCTTTATCAAAGTGTCTGTGATAAAGCCCTTTCTTGGCAAATGCATTCATGTGTGTTAATGTGTATGCTTTTATTGTTCTTTATTATACTAGATGGGAATAAATTATTGTGTATTTATTGATAGCCCATTTGTGTAAGTGACAATATCATTTATGATCAAAGTATCTTACTCACAGTGACTCATTCCCAAACACGTTTGTTAGTAGTTTATAGACAAATAATGTAAAAAAAGAAATAATGTTTAAATAACAAATATAATTTAAACAAATATTTAGAATTCCTAGAATTGAGATACATTAGGATAAAAAATATGGTTTTTGCTCCCATAACAAAGGAACAAAGGTTTCTTTGGAACCTGTGCTTACACCTCCTATTTTGTGAAGACAATATCCATTTCACTCAACGTTTTAATAGAAAATTGTTATATAAGTGTATATGTTTTCCAACAATTCTGAAATTCAGCAGAGTTGTTTTTTTTTTTCTTTAATTAGCTCATGTTATGAAGTAATTAATAATTTAGAGGTATCATTCTTGAAGACAAATCTAATCTAATTAAATCTTTTATTCTTTTTTTTTTTTTTACGCTGTGTATTCTAGTGTTCCCCCAGCTGTATTTCCACATGCTGCGGCAAAGGAGGAAAGTCCTTCATGGAGAAGTGATAGTGGAAAAGGATGAATAGTATGGAAATATCAGAAGGAGTCTCTTGGAACTGAGTCCTTTCATGATCAATTTTTTTTCTCAACTTGAAAGTAGTTTTGTCATCTTTACATATTCCACTCCATTGCTCTGTTCCCTTCCCCTCATTTTTGTATTGTAAAATAACATCAACATCGTGCCATTGTTCCCATGTTTTCATTGGGTGAGAAGGTACATTTGTATCACTAGTGATCATTAACAGTGAATACGGACAAATTATTTAGCATGAAACACCAGCCTTGGATAGTGGATCTTGCTTCTCTTTGTAATATCCGGATTTTTCTTGGTATTGTGAAGAACATCTACAAGGTTGAACAAGTTGGCAATAGATCCAACTAAATGGTTTTGTAGCTGCAACCTCTTTGAAAACCATGGGCCATATTTATTAAGCCAAAACAGAAGCAGTTCGGAGGTAAAATGCTAAATGTTTAGAAATGTTTTAATGGTTGGCATGGTGATTTCTTCATTGTAAGCATTCCCCTGCATTATTGCTTCAGACTTTGGTTGGTAAATATGGCCTGCAGTATCTTCTATAACATTGGTACTCCAAAGATCATGGTTTTAGCAAAAATCCCCTTTTTTGTTGAAGAATTGGGTAATCTCAAAATCCTGGACTGTAGGTGACCCTCAATGAGTGATTTGAGAATCACAAATCTGTTATCTGTTTACATTTTGATTCTTCAGATCAGCTGAGGATTATGTAAAATAGATTTGTGGACAGGACAAGCACTTTCCTTAACAGTATTCTATATTTTCAGAGACCTCAGTATAATACTATCGTTTAAAAATAATTACATTTTTTAACTTCTTTAAATATATCATTGTTAAATCATGAAACAATAAAATAAAAACTTTTGTTTTCGTAAAGAAAATTTAATATCTCAATCTAACCATCTTATTTAAAAAAAAAAAAAGAAAGTATAGATTCTACAACTATTTGGTACCTAGGGCAGAATTGTCTGCGTGCAAGCCTCCACAGCATGTATTGAGTGTGTGGTTGTTGTTTCTCTGCCCCCGTTTTTACCTTGTGTGAATCTCCTGATCCGTTAATTTCTTGAGTGTCTCTTTCCTAATTCGTGCTACCTCTCTGTGTCTCCTAACTCCCCTTTCAACCCTTTGCATCTCCTAACTACCCTTCACTCCTTTGTGTATCTCTCCATTTTCTCCCCTTGTGTGTCTCTCAGAACCTCCTCAACATTTTTGTGAGTCTTTTCAATGAGCCATGCCCCTTTTATGATCCATTAATCCCTCTGACCCATAATGTAGCATGGCGATAAGGACTTAGAAAGAGGATCTGCATGTTTTACTGCTCAGTCTGTTCATGAAGCTCAGAGCAATGTGCGTGAGTGGCCCGAAAGGCATGATATATTATATGATATGCAATGATCTGTCTTATCCATGTCCCCTCCATCTGTACTGCATGTCACTTAGAGTTCCAATGACACACTGAACAAAGGAATGTGAAGATCCTCTGTTGCATCCCATTCGGACATGCTTCAATCCAGGACTTTAGTCCGAGGAAGCCTGTATTTGACACCAGATTGGGGACTATTATTAGTTTATCTTTTTATGACAACGTTCTGGTGCACCAAGTAAATGTAGCACAAATTTTGTTAGTCTGGACCAAACAACACTTTTTGATACAATTCCAAATTATTTTTTTTAAAGCCATGTAAGGTGTCGAGTAGACCACAGCCAACCACCTGCCACCACTCAAAGTAAAGGTTGTCAACTAATTTCCATGAAAATAACTTTTGTATAATGATTTAGTTTTTTAAGGAATAACATATTTCTTAGGACAATGTCCATAGGAACTACTTATAGGAGAGGATCTGAGCCTATGCCTTGTTTGGGTTTGGAACCCCAACTGATATAGAAATAAAAGAGATGGAAACTAATATACCATTCCTTAGATGTGGGTAGCAGGGCCTAGACCAAGAATACAGAAAGTGTGAATGGCAAAGGCAAGTTAAATAGTTGGTAAGTTGATGCCATTTGTTCAAATGTCCATGGTCAATGTCAACCATGCAATTCAAGTCACCACAGAACATCAGAGAACTTACTATCACAGCACACCCTGAAAGTGACTATCATAAGCAAATGCCATAACTCGTGTCACAGGTTTAAATAGAGGCTCCTCAATGATGAATGATTTGACGTCTTAACTGGGATCTGCTGGGCAGCAAACCCTGTCTCCACTACTTCCTTCTTATAGGCTTTATAAAGGCTAAGCCTGCTGGTGCCAGGATTGACTTATTGGCTAAAAGAGATCAACTGAACTAGCATCTTGGCTCAGGAGAGCTAACATAAGTACGAGATTCCACTGCCAGGAGCCAATGTCAATGTCAGGATCCTATCTTGACAACCAAAAGAGGCCACACTCTGCTAAACAAATGGCCTTTACATTGATTGAAGTTGATGTTCTGATCCTGACTAGACTTCTGATCCTGACTTGTACTGAGAACACCTACTCTACTCTGAATTGCATTGAACCCATCCTGATTTATCCTATCAACCTGCTTTATTTCCAATCTGCTTACTATCAAGAAGCTTGGGGACAAAATCTGATCTTCAAAACCAACTTGCTCTATTCTAAACTGGACTTTAATACCTTATTATTTTGTTTTAAATCTACCGAACACCTACCGAAACCTACGCAACCAACCTGGATAATACAAACATTTATCCTGAACGATCCTGTTACAACTATCTGAAATCTGCAGTACTACCTCCAAACCAAAGAGGCTGATCACCTTAATGTCTAACTGACCTGTATTTCTTAAACCTTTTATATTCAGTTTAGTGCTGTCTAGTTATATTTTCTTTACATGTAACCTATACTTTCATTTATAGGTTTTCCTTCTCTTTATTTACCTATAATTTCACTTATAGGAGATATTGAAAATCATGATGGATAAATCATCCCAGAGATAACCATAGGCTCCTAATCTGGTGTTATAATGCTCGGGAGAACCAATAATAAAACCACAGACACTTCGTTTGTAGTTCTAAATTACCTCTATCTTTAATGGGAGAGCATTGCATATATAAAATGGTATTAGTCTACTGCGCATGTGTCAAAGCAACAATGACTTACTTGAAGAAAGTGTTATCTAAGCTATGCAAGGTTAACAAAAAGTAAAAGTAAGATTTAACATGAGAGAGAGAAGGGACACAGCTGCAAAGAATTGCAGACACAGCAGGTGTCAAGAATTTAACTTCTAATCCCTGCAGATGTGGAAGGACTTAATCAAGGTTAAGATAACTAAGGCAAATACTTTATTTACCTTTATCTATGACATAGGTTTCCCTGTTACCTTATAACCTTCCTGGGGCATATTGCCTAAAACTCTCTTTTCTTGTTATCCCTCTTTATACTTTCCTATAATCTCGCTTATAGGTTCTCCTTCTACTAAATCTCGCTTATAGGTTCTCCTTCTACTAATTGCCTAGAATCTTGCGTATAGGTTCTCCTTCTACTAATTGCCTAGAATCTCGCTTATAGGTTCTTCTTCTACTAATTGCCTAGAATCTCGCTTTAAGGTTCTCCTTCTACTAATTGCCTAAAATCTCGCTTATAGGTTCTACTTCTACTAATTGCCTAGAATCTCACTGATAGGTTCTCCTTCTACTAATTGCCTAGAATCTCGCTTATAGGTTCTTTTTCTACTAATTGCCTAGAATCTCGCTTATAGCTTCTCCTTCTACTAATTGCCTGGAATCTCGCTTATAGGTTCTTTTTCTACTAATTGCCTAGAATCTCCCTTTAAGGTTCTCCTTCTACTAATTGCCTAGAATCTCCCTTATAGGTTCTCCTACTACTAATTGCCTGGAATCTCGCTTATAGGTTCTCCTTCTACTAATTGCCTAGAATCTCGCTTTAAGGTTCTCCTTCTACTAATTGCCTAAAATCTCGCTTATAGGTTCTACTTCTACTAATTGCCTAGAATCTCGCTTATAGGTTCTCCTTCTACTAATTGCCTAGAATCTCGCTTATAGCTTCTCCTTTTACTAATTGCCTGGAATCTCGCTTATAGGTTCTTTTTCTACTAATTGCCTAGAATCTCCCTTTAAGGTTCTCCTTCTACTAATTGCCTAAAATCTCACTTATAGGTTCTCCTTCTACCAATTTCCTAGAATCTCTTTTATAGGTTCTCCTTCTACCAATTGCCTAGAATTTTCCTTATGGGTTCTCCTTCTACCAACTGTCTAGAGTCTCACGTATTGGTTCTCCTTATACTAATTGCCTAGAATCTCGCTTATAGGTTCTCCTTCTACCAATTGCCTAGAATCTCACTTTTTGGTTCTCCTTCTACTAATTGCCTAGAATCTCCCTTATAGGTTCTCCTTCTACCAATTGCCTAGAATCTCGCTTATAGGTTCTCCTTCTACCAATTGCCTAGAATCTCACTTTTTGGTTCTCCTTCTACTAATTTCCTAGAATCTCCCTTATAGGTTCTCCTTCTACTAATTGCCTAGAATCTCCCTTATAGGTTCTCCTTCTACTAATTGCCTAGAATCTCACTGATAGGTTCTCCTTCTACTGATTGCCTAGAATCTCGCTTATAGGTTCTTCTTCTACTAATTGCCTAGAATCTCACTTATAGGTTCTTCTTCTACTAATTGCCTAGAATCTCCCTTTAAGGTACTCCTTCTACTAATTGCTTAGAATCTCCCTTATAGGTTCTCCTTCTACTAATTGCCTAGAATCTCGCTTATAGGTTCTCCTACTACTAATTGCCTAGAATCTCGCTTATAGGTTCTTCTTCTACTAATTGCCTAGAATCTCGCTTATAGGTTCTTCTTCTACTAATTGCCTAGAATCTCGCTTATTGTCTGGGGCTTCTTGCCTAAACTCTTTATTTTATATCCCTCAAATTCTTACCTATAATCGCACTTATAGGTTCTGCTTTCTCCCTTTGTCTATATTATTTCCACTTCCCTTTAAGTCCTGCTACAAACCATGTCAAAGTCTACAAATAAAGAACCTAAAGTTTACCCCGGTATAAGTCTCTTATCTGACCTGATCAAGAACATGACAGTCAACATATGCAAGAGTAAGGCATTGAAGTCTATGGAGAATTCCACAGAGAGGTCCTCGTGATACTTGATAGAGTTTTTTTTTTCCTACAGCCATCACTGGTGATAGCTAGGGGAAACAATAAGCTTCACAAAAGGTAACTCCGCCTATTGTCAAGTCTAAGGAAAATACTGAGACAAAGTAGTCCCAACTTTGTCTTAGTATATCTGTTGACGGCATTGAAATTTCAGTGAAATTCCAACACAGTCAAAAAATTCTATCTTTATGAAATACTAATTTTGGAGGAAAGGGGTGAGAGAACTGCTTTAAGTGATATGCACTTTCCTTTCTTTTAGCTTTCTAGCCAGTGTTCAACATATCACTTAAAAAATATTATTTCTTCCAAAAAAGTAAAATAATAATAATAAGCTTTTTTTACGGTAGGGCTAGTAATTGTTCTGTGTTGTTCATGCACTGTGAGATTCTACTGGCTAAACATTAGAAAGGGGTCATTACTCAGACTGATCTTTATCCACAAACTACACGTGAGCTGCATGCAGTTTTTTTCTTGAACAAAGAAAATACGAATATTTAAATAAAATGCTATTCAAACGAGGAAGACTAGTGTGAACAAATCAAATTCCCCTTTTTAAGTGGATGCATTTTAAAAGTATGTATTTATGAAAATCTACATAAATTGAAGGGAATGAACTGCAGAACTGGTTTTCCAGTTAATGAAGATCCAGCCCATATACTGTAGTTCCTGGACTCCGACTAGTGTTCAATCAAGGGCATTTAGGTCTGATCACACAGAGAAATGGAAACGGATGTGTTAATGTGTGGCAAGCTCATCTCTCCAAATCATATACATTGTCCTGTGACTTTAGAAACATCCCTACCTCAGTCGTATGGCAGCCAGAACTGCAAGCAGTGGTATATTCTAGTTTTGTGCTGCCCTAGGCATGACAAAACTCAGGCAATACCCGCCCCCCTTCCAAATTTCTCACGCCCTCACTAATACATGCATTGACATACACTCACAGATACATAGTCATTGTCACACACACTGTTTAACCAATACACACTTTCTCTGAAACATACATGTTCATAGACATACACACTCACTCACATTCACTGACACACATATACACTAAGTGATAGACATGCATTCACCGATAGATACATACACACCCACTGATAAGACACACATGCACACTCACTGACAGATGCACACTGACAAACACACATACACACTCACAGACAGACATATATACACTAAATGTCAGGCAAACACATTCAGTGACAGACATACACATTCACTGACAGACACACACTGACAGACATACACATTCACTGACAGATACACACTCTTAGTGACAGATATGCATACACACACTGACAGACACAGATACACACACTGACACATGAATGCATACACGGACAGACATGCATACACACACTGACAAACACACTCTCAGTGACAGATACACATACACTCTCACTGACAAACACACATACACACTCACTGACAAATATACAATCTCAGTGACAGACACACACACTTTTTGATAAACACACACTCACTAACAGACACACACACACACACACACACTCTAACAGACACACACTCTTACAAACAGACACACACTAACACTCACTAACAGACACACACACACACACACACACTCTCACTAGCATGCACACACTAACACTAACACACTCACCAACAGACTCATACGTTTTTTTTATTTATTTCAATCCAAGCAGCCTCCCTTCATGTGGGAGTGCTTGAGTGGATTCTTCCCTGGGGTCCAGTGGGGCTGGCTCAGCAGGCACAGGTGGGCTGGCTCAGCAGGCATAGGTGGGCTGACTCCGTGTGTCTGTCGGTGTCATGGTGTGTGTCTGTGTGTCTGTGTGTCTGTCTGTGTCATGGTGTGTGTGTCTGTGTCATGGTGTGTGTGTGTCTCTGTCATGGTGTGTGCGTCTGTGTCATGGTGTGTGTGTGTGTGTGTCTGTGTCATGGTGTGTGTCTGTGTCATGGTGTGTTTCTGTGTGTCTGTCTTTGTCATGGTGTGTGTGTCTCTGTCATGGTGTGTGCGTCTGTGTCATGCTGTGTGTGTGTCTCTGTGTCATGGTGTGTGTGTGTCTGTCTGTGTCATGCAATGTGTGTCTGTGTCATGGTGTGTGTGTGTCTGTCATGTAATGTGTGTCTGTCTGTGTCATGGTGTGTGTATTTGTCATGGTGTGTGTGTGTTTCTGTCTGTGTCACGGTGTGTGTGTCTGTGTCATGGTCTGTCTGTGTCATGGTGTGTGTCTGTCATGGTATGTATGTGTGTTTTTACTCACCTTTTTTTCCCCCCACGTCATGCTGGTCTCCCCTCGACTGGCCCTGCCTCTACGGTTGAGATCATCAAGCTTGATGATCTCAGCCAAACTGCACTGACTCAGGAAGCACCTCTAGTGACCGTCTGAGTGTCCGTCACTAGGAAGCAATGTAAACACTGCCTTTTCTCTAAAAAGTCAGTGTTTACATTGAAAAGCCTGCAGGGACAGGCTATAGACACCAGAGCCACTACATTAAGCTGTGTGTGTGTGCGCCTGATAGTGAGTGGACTTGCTTGTGTGTGTGTGTGTGCCTGCTACTGAGTGAGCTTGTGTTTTTATGTCAATGACCTTATGTATATCAGTGAGATTGTTTGTCTATGAGGCTGTGTATCAATCAGCATGTGTCAGTGAGATTGTCTGTGTCTGCATGTGAGTATGCTTACTGTATAATTAAAAATTTGACTCTGAAAGGACCAATATTTTATATTGGAAAAAGATATATATATATATATATATATATCTCAATCATCTAGGGTGGCAAGACATAGCCTTACATATTACATGCGACAATATATGGCGCAATGACTTATGGGGCTGGCATAGATTTTTTTTCCAGGGCTGCTTTTGAAATCCCCAGTACGGCCCTGTCTCCCACCTCATACATCAGTAGATGCCAGCCTCGGGGGGCCCTGAGGCTGGCAAGGCATCTGCTAGGGAATTTGGAGGGCGGCTTTTTTTGCTGCTCCCTAGAAAGTGCCGCCCAAGACAAATGCCTTGTCAGCCTCATGCTAAATACAGCACTTACTGCAAGATAAGTTCTCACAGCATAAATGTCTACAAACTAAAGAATTTGTAGGTGACTTATTAATAAAAATGTATAGAATAAAATGTGATATAGAACAAGAATAATGTATCTTATTTACACAACTTGAAAATCACAGATTTAAACAAATATATTGCAGTTTAAAGGAGCACTTTAGGGTCCGGAACACAAACATGTATTCCTGACCCTATAGTGTTAAAACCACTATCAAGCCCCGTTGGCCCCCTTTGCCTCCCTAAACATAGTAAAATCTTACTTGTAGTCAAGTCTCTGAAACTGCTATGTTTATTAAAAAAAGGGTTAACCCTAGCTGGACCAGGCACCCAGACCACTTCATTAAGCTGAAGTGGTCTGGGTGCCTATAGTGATCCTTTAACATAACCCAAAGATTCTTTATGATATTTTTTTTTCATTTGTTTCTAAGAAATCCCAGACTCTGTCACTGTGTATAATGGGCTCCTTGCAGGTGATGTATTTTTTCACGCAATACAAGCTTGTTAGGAAAATTGTGCAATTTAAACAAAACCTCATGCCACTTTAATTTCAAGAAATTATGTTTACAACTGCTTCTGTGACTTGCAACAGCTGTGTCATTCGAAGGGTTTGTACATGTATTCCAAAGGGCAAGACTTTAGGTCTATCAATTTTAAAGAAAAAGTGCCTTTTCGTTTTATTACATTCATTTATTATTGCTGATTTTAGAAGAAACATATTGTTCCAGATATATTACACATTTATCCAGAAAAAAAAAATTTAATTTCAAGGTCACATGCAGCTGGTGGTCTTGTCCGAGGTTCATATATTATGCAAGCCTTACTATATTTCAAAACAGTTAAAAAAGTCAAACATCAAAATTACTAATGTATTTATTTATTTTAAGTATGATTTTTGCTTAACCCCTTCAATGCAGCACTTGTGTATACATGATTGCCAGGGTCTGCACCCATAACGCGTAATTGTGTATACACGATTATAATCATTGCATAATTAAATTCATTCACTGCAAAAAATTTAATTTGCAGTGATCTTGTTGTTGGCAAAGCTGGCGTGGCCTTTCAAACGCTGGCTCTGCTGAGCTTCTCTGCACCCTCCCCCTTCCCCATGGGCTGGTAGGGAGATCTCGATATCTCTCTGCACAACGCTGCGCTGATCAGTCTGCCGTCTGCCCTCTGGCTAAAGGCAGCGCTCTGGAAGTGCTCCTCCATGTCAGAGACCAGAAGGGGGCATTCTGAGCCAGAGGGCAGATTCCACTGGCAGTCTACAGGACCACCAAGGAATAATTAACATAAAAACAAATAATAATGAAAAAAAATAAAAAACAAGCAGCCATGTGTGGGA